TTTAGTATACCTTTGCACTTCTAGACAACCCATTAGTTTGCATGTATATCAAACAAATAATCGATCCCACCAAGGTAAAACAGCTTAATGCATAGTAATGGGTCAAACTTTAGTCTATATTGGTCAGGATTCTGTTGAACAGAAAGTGAAATCAGTTCACATCCTCTCAATGAATTAACTTCTGAACAATGTAATCTATCTTGGAAATCTAAACTTTTGGATCATATGGGCCTGTCTACAATACAGATACAACTACATCTTCATACAACAGCAATGTGGTTAAAACTGCAGCACAGAGGAGACCTAACCAGGTACCCATATTATCCTAGATCCTTTGAAAGATCTTTGATGAAAGGTCATGGGGATATCAAAGCATATTTTAACCCTATTGAATGGACAATTGTGTTAGCACCTTGTTCTCCAACATAGTTGTATCTCAGGGCCTGAGATAATGTATCAATCCATAGAGCTCAGTGGTTTGGATCATTATAAAAACCGATAAGTAGTATTTCACTTTAGTACTGCCATGACAAATGAGAAATAACCTACTTTGCTGGTTCTGATAAAGAATAGGCGAGTCAGTGGTTGGATTTCAGCAAATGAAATAAAGGAACATACACCAGAGGGGCCAACTGAAATAAGCCTCTTAAAAAAAATTAAAATTATTTCTTGTTAATTCCCAGTACTTTTGCTACTTTTGTCAGCGTTTATTTTAAAGAGTGCATATGTGAAAATATGGTCAATGCAGGACTTTAAAAAATGTACCAGACTAAATCTATTAGCCAGTGGCAATGAAAAAAGATGGAGGCAGGACCACTACTAAGGGTCAGGGACCGCATCCTAGTAAGAAACTCAGAATCATTCTGCTAGCTGAGAAGGAGGATGCTGAAATCCTTAACAGAGTGTTGCCCCTTGACTTTGTCCAGGAAATTCATCTTTTGCAACAGTGTATAGCTAGCAGATGTTTCATAAGCTTGATGTGCTCTATACCCTTTCTGACAGCTAAAAAGAAAGCACTCTCCCTTCAACCTAAACTTCACCTCAGGACGTCTTCACTGCTGGGAGAGAATGCCACTAAACTTCTTTTCTCCAAACCTCAAGTTTTTGGGGTTGTCCCAGCTCCTGCTATAATTGCTTCTTATAACTGCAACAGCGGTGTGAAACTGACAGGATTCTTGACAGTTTAACAACTGGGTTTGAAGAGCAGCCATGAAACTAACCAAAGTCTAGTATAATTAATTCTCCTGCTGCTCTTATGAGATGTCTGCATAGTACTCCTGGGGGAATTCTGCGTCAAAAAAACATAAAAATTATGCACCAGCAAATTAAACATTCTGCAAAATTCTGCATATTTTATTTGTCAAAATAACCCAATATAATCACGCCAGTTTCAATTATTTCGGTAATTTATTTCAATACAGACAACAAAAAAGATTCCCACAGGAGTAGAGTTAGAGCAACCCCCTGCGTCCACATGGATCCTCATTGCAGGATCAAGGTATAAGTACCCTGAGGTAGGAGAGATGGGGAGGAAGGCAGAGAGCAGATTAGTCAGTTGAGAGTATGCATTAGCTTAGTGGGGTCTGTCCCTGGTCTCTTCTCAGGGAGAAGTGAGGGTGCTCCTTGCTTCTCTGAGGGCAGACAGACCCCAAGACTCACTTAGTTGCTCCTAGCTTCCCACCCTTCTTCAGCTCCCCCTCCCTTGGGATCCTTGCCCCAGGAACTTTTCCTCCTCAGCTGCTCCTCCCACACTCACTGCCCCCTCCCTCAGGGCATAGCCCTATGCCCTCACCTTTCCCTTCCCCTGGAAATTGACTCCCCTTTCCCACCGCACTGGCCACGCCCAGGCTCCAACACATCCCACCCCTGGAGACCCTCTGCTTCCCCCACCCACTACTGGGTGCCCTGTGTTCCCCTCTCCCAGCCTGACTGATCCCTTCCTTGCCTCCCCCACCCCCAGAGGCCCTAGCAGAGCAGAGGAAACTGACCACAAGAGACGCAGTTGGAGAAACCCAGCTCCTGGAGGAGGGGAACCTGCCTGCACATCACTGCAAGTAAGAACTCTGCCTGGGGCATACGCCACAAGCAGACCTCAGGTACAAAACTGGAGGGGGGTGGGTGCCCCCCTGCCCTCCCTAAATATCACCTTGGCAAAGGCTCACCACGGCTTTCCTACTGTTCTATGTGTGAGCCCCATGCCTCTGTAGGGTGAGCATAGCAATGGAGGCAAGGGGTGTGCACTAGAGCTGCCTCCCAGCGGGGAGTGCAGGCAACCGGCTGCACAGAGGTGGGGGAATCACCTTGCAGCCCACCCCTTGGAACACGGACTCCGCAGTGAGGCTGCACCTGACCTGCCTGCCCCTCCACGTCAGGTGCACCATGATAGCAAGCGAGGGGAACAGTCTTGCACGCACACATGCCCACCCAGCCCTGCCTCCCCCTCAGGCAGTGATTTACATCTCTCCCAATAACTGAACTGACACGCGCACTCAGAATGGCTGCCCGGGAGGGGCGCATGACCCCTCTCATCACTTCCATTTGCTTCCCCATCAGAATCTATTATTCTGCAGGGAAACAAAAAAATTCTTCAGGGGACATGAATTCTGCGTGTTGTGCAATGGTGCAGAATTCCCACAGGAGTAGCACTAGGCATTCTTCCGATAGAAAATTATCTTTGCTACCACCAAATCCTCTCCACTAAAGATAGCAGCAGCGAAAGTGCAAGTGTAGGTAGAGTACCCAGCAGTCGCAAGTGATTTCAATATCGTTCATCTAACCTTGCTCAATACAGGTCTAAAAAAGTGGAAAATATCATAACAGCCTGTCTACAGTAGTGCTACCATCATTGATAACAATACTTCACACTTGGTAAGGCAACTCCCATCCTTTCATGTATTTATACCTGCTCCTGTATTTTCCACTTCATGCATCTGATGAAGTGGGTTCTAGCCCACAAAAGCTTATGCCCAAATAAATTTGTTAGTCTCTAAGGTGCCACAAAGACTCCTCACTGTTAATACCAGATTTATGTATTTGAAAAAAAAACAAAAAACAAAACAAAAAAAACACTAGTGTAAACAAGGCCTAAGAATGGAGCAACTGCCAAAGAGGTCTCTGTTACTCAGCAGGTAAATCTCACTATTGGTTAGTAATTATATTTCTCAAGCCCTCTGTCAGTTCATTTACATTTAGAACATATGATGTTACTTTGGAGTTTTAACTGAAAAGATGTGTCTTCATCTATACAGACTAGAAAGACTAGCTAGTTTCTATAGCCTAAGGGAAACCATAATTTCTAAAAAAACATATTATGATATAATTGTTTTGCCATTTTGAGTGGCGAGAAAGCATGACAAGATCAGGAAGAAAGGCCACAGTGAGCACTCGACACACCCAGCTCTGACACAGCCGGCTAGCTGTATAAAGGTGGGTGATGCTACAAATATCTGTGCAGCATTTCCTCTAATACCACTTCCTATTCTTCTCCGGCCTCTTCTGATTCTCCTAGTCCCCACTCCTTATTCCATAATTCCTTATATGCTCCTCCGGTTCTTCTCCCTCATCCCAGTGCCCTCAATGTCCCTCCTGATCCCTCCCATCACAGCTCCTCTAGCCCACCCATAACCCCCAAATGTCTCTGATGATCCTTAGCCCCTTGAACTCCCTTTAATCCTATTGACCCCCATAGTTACCCTAATGTTCCTATGATACCCCGTTGTTCAACTCTTTCACTGCCTCTAATCCCTTCAATTCCTAGGTCTCATCTGATTCCTCAGCCCCAGTCCTCCCTGACACCGCCCCCCACAACCTCCACTCAGCTAACATCCTCTGTGTCCCCAGTGTCACCACAACTTCCCAGTTTCCCTCGCTAACCTCAATCATCACATGACTCCCGCCGCCCATCCCTGTACAACTCCCAGCCCCGGTCCCGTGCACTTCGCTAGCTCCCAATGGCCCCAAGCGCCACTTTGTTACATCCTCCACCCCCCTCAGCCCTCCTTCATTCCTCTTCCTCTCCGCCTGTCCTGATCTTCCCACCGCCTGCTCATCCCCCCCCCCAGCGCCCTCCGCAGGTTCCCCATCGGGTTCCTTCAGAACCGCTTGAGCAGGGCGGGGTGGCCGCCCCAGTCCCTCCCTCCCTCCGCACCTACCCCCTTATCCCCCCCGTCCCACCCCCTCCCCGGGTCCGTCCGTCCGTCCCACCCGCTCACCTCCTCGCTCTCGCTGCGGGCCCCGGCCGCCGGCCCCGAGGCGCGGCTCTCCAGCACCTCGCAGAACTGCTCCAGGCTGACGGCCTCCTCGCCGCGGCCCAGCCGCTCCTCCAGCCAGCGCACCAGGGTGCTGTGGTGCCGGGACACGAGCGACTCGGGCAGGGCGGCCTCCCGCAGCCGGGCCGTGGCCTCCCGCAGCCGGGCCTGCTCCAGCAGCACCGTGGCCGGGGGCAGCGGGGGGAGCGGGCCCGGCCCAGGCGGAGAGGCAGCCCCGGGCTGCTCGGCTGCCGCCGTCCCTTCCATCTCCTCCTCAGCTCCCCCCTCCTCCTCCTCGCTGCTGTGGCTCGCCACGTTCCCCATGGACCAGGCGCTCGCTGCTGCCGGCGGCGGCCTCGGGCCTCGCGCAGCCGCCGCCTCCGACCGACCCGGCTTAGTCAGCAACCTCCCCCGGCCCCTCGACACCTGTCAATCCCGGAGGGAGGGGAGTCACTCTGCCGCCAAGCGACAGCCGGCGTCGTAAAACCGGCACCCCGGTCGGCGTTTTTACCAAATGACCGTAAAGCGCGAGCCGTCAGCGGGGTGAACGCGGCGCCGTTGCCACGCTGCCGTAATTTGTCGGCTGCGGTCGTCGTGAAATAACCAGCGACAACGCACCGCCGTTTGTTTGGTTTTTTTTTTTCGCCGCACCACCGTAAAGCGAGAAAAGCGTCGTAAAAACTAAGGCAAATGTAATTGCCCGCGGGGGAAATGGCGGCTGAACGCCCCCTGGAAGAAACGGGGTGAGGCCAATTGTCATCCCCGCCATTTTGATGACGGGCGGCTTCGGCCCTTTCAACTCAGGCTTGGATGGGGTTAGGGGGGCTCCTGGTTCCCGCTCTGGGCTTGGCCGCCGCTTGGCTGCTGGGCCTCGGGTTCGAGCCCAGCTCCTGGCTGCTCCCTTTCTTCTCCGGGCGGGGCCGGCTGCTGAGCCCCGCCCAGCTCGCGCGGTACACGGGAGCGCAGGGCAGCCCCGGCCTCTACCTGGCGGTGCTGGGGCAGGTGTTCGACGTGCGCCGGGGGCACAAGCACTACGGGCCGGGGGCGGCCTACGGTGTCTTCGCAGGTATCCCCTCTCTGCGCGGGACCCCCGGGGAGAGCCGCCCCCCACCCCGCTGGGTGTTGTCCCTCACGGCTGGCAGTGCCAGAGCCCTGGGTTGGAGACTTGCTTGTGGAACAAGCCACCCCCCCTCAGCCCCGTACGGATCCCGTAGCCGGGGGCAGGTAGGTCGTTGGCCTCGTTGAAAGAAACCGGGGGGCAAGGGGGTGTGTTGTGGATTATAGAGCGGATCCTCAGCTGGACCCCAGCACCAGCCCCCCGTCTATCTGCGCACCCCCGGGGCCGAATCCTATCCCAGCTGGATGTTCATCCTGTCTGTCCTACAGGGAAAGATGCCTCCAGGGCTTTTGCGACAGGAGATTTCACCAACACCGGCCTTGTGGATGATGTTTCTGGGTTATCGCCATCAGAAATGTTGACTCTACAAAACTGGCTCTCTTTCTACAGCGAGAATTACATTTTCGTTGGTACGTGATCTGTAACCTAGCCGAGTAATAATATAGGAGCATACCTGGATTAATCCTCAGAAGCTTGTTTGGTTTATATTATCCATGCTTAATACTGTAGGAGGGGCACTTTTGCATCCAAGATCACCATAGAGTAATGGGCAGGCCAGTTGTCTCTTTTCTCTAGCTGTGGGGTTATTCCAGGGAAAGCATTCTTTTAACATCATCTTAATAAAATTTCAAAGTTACAGTTTGGGCTACCACACGCAAAGCAGCAAAAAATTCCCTTTGAAGCAGGTAGGACAGTAATGCGGGCCATATTTGAGAGAAAAAAGTTGCACCAAACTCTTTTAATTACTGAATTCCACAGAAAGTAGAAAAGAGTGATGTACCAAAAGTCTGTTTGTAGTTTAGAATATACCAAATTTGCTGATTATTCCTTACAAGCTTGTAACAGGTGGGGGAGAGTTGAAGGAAAATGGATATGTTTGAGCCCGGGTCTTACAAACACACATCTGAATAATCCTATTGAGCTCAATGAGACAATTTGCTCACAGCGAACAGATTTTAAATTGGACCTGTTGACACTGAGCCAGGAATACATGATGGACCTCAGCCATGACTCTTGTATCTATGACTGCAAAGGAATTAGGCAAGAGGATTGACTTTGCCATTTAGATAAACTAGAGTTGCCCTGAGCTGTTGGCTAAAAATTGGAAAATGTAGACTGACTTCTGTAACCCTACCTTCACACATAACAATTGTAAACCTGTTTTTTGTTTCTGATCAGCTCATCTTCTTTCACACTGGATAATAGTGACTAATGTTCTCAAAGTATCTGAAATCTCCTGTGTTCTGGAAATATGTCCCATTGATACCAGGATCCATGTATACATCCATCTTACTCTGTACATTAGCCAAGTAACTGGGTTTTGGGAACATTGCAACGAAGGGAATGAAATGAGTGTACATTTTATTTTCTACTGCTACACAAATGTAATGACATTGCAGCATTGCAACAGTAAGAATAGTCTGATAGACCTCTATTTGGCATTTCAGGAGCAGTATTGTCTAGTGGTTAGATAAGAGGACTGGTTGTTAAGCCTGTTGGATTCTATTGCTGATCTTCAGTGTGATATAACGTCTGTGCCTGTTTCTCCATCTGTAAAATAGGCTTAATTCATTATCTCCATCATGTCTATATGTTAATGTTAGTAAAATGTTTTGAGATTCCTGGTCAGAAGGGACTAAGTTGCGGACACTTAATTCTGTTATTTCTAAAATAATATACGTGGGGTGCCCCAAGGCAGCACTTACATAATACAGTATGCTGCTTTTTTAGAGGGTTTCTGGAGTTTTTTTGAGGCATTTTTAAAAAAATGCTATGGTCTTAGTGGCTCTTTTTGTTCCCTCAAAAGGCAAACTGGTAGGAAGATTCTATGATGAAAATGGGGCACCCACAAAAGCTCTGGAACAGGCCAACGCTGTCATCGAAGAAGTGCTGAAGTTCAAGGGACAAAATGATGAGAAGAAGCAGTTCCCGCCCTGTAACTCTGAATGGAGCTCAACCAGTGGCAGCAGATTCTGGTGTTCCAAACAAAGGTAAGCATTGCCTTCCTGCTAGCATGGTCAGACTCTGCAGAGCCAAGCACCTTGACATCTCTCATCTGAGATCTTACTATGCTGGTCTAGGTAGCACTGACAGTTTCGGGACAGATCCAGCAAAAATTGTTTGTGATATGGTTAGGCCAGGCAGCAAGGATGATTGTTTTGTATAAGTGTGTGGCCTTGGGTAAGCCTCTTAACCCCCTCAGACAGATGAGACAGCTAAGTAAATTATAGCAGAGAGAGAACTCTGCTATAGCTAAGAACTCCTTTCTGTTTGCAGGTTCATGCTAAGTGCTCTAAAATCTGCAAGGGATTACTTGGATTCTTCCCTCTTTTGGGAACTGAGGGGTCCCTGTTCCTTGAGGTTGGGGGGTCTGAGCCCCTCTCCCTGCTCTTAGGGTGACCAGGCAGCAAGTGTGAAAAATCAGGACGGGGGTGGAGGGTAATAGGAGTCTATATAAGAAAAAGACCCCAAAATCGGGACTGTCCCTATAAAATTGGGACATCTAGTCACCCTACCTGCTCTCATCATCTGAGTTGAGATCAGAGAGTCCCTGTGCCTCTTGGGAGGTGGGCTGAGCCTCTTTCCTTGAAGCTTGAAATAGCTTAACTCTTCCATTCCTAATTCTAAGGAGTTTTGAGTTTTGCTGAACTCTCATTCTGGATGGGCTGAGACAACACAGAATTAAGGCTGCCCCATGGTAGCAAAGCTTTTTGTCAGTGAATTATATCTAACACACAGGAGCGTTGCAAGTATTGCTTAGCAAGGCACTCGTACAGCACTGTGGAAGTCAGAGCCTTATTAGCACTTGCTCACTCTGGCAAGCCTCAGCTTAGTAGAATGGGTAGGAATTCTGTATTAGCGTTAACATAGCCTGGGAAGTGGGATCTTCAGAGACCATAAACGTGGAAAGTACAGGTGCTAACCTTAAGATTCTATTGCGTAGTATGTAAAATGGTGTTTATGCTAACTACTGTTCTGTTGGGGCTTTTTACCTAAAGACAGCAGTCTGAGCAGGCGCGTTGATACCTATGTGTGAGCAGCAATTCCGACAACTGAAACCAGTCACAAGGATCTGATGGAAGCATTAGTACAAAATGAAGGATGCAGTTTCCCAGCAGTTCTGCCCATGTAGTGAATGTTGGAGACAGTATCTGTCTGATAAAATTCCTTTGAAGTTTGGCAGACGTAACCAGCATGAACTGCATTCTAATAAAAATCAGTGAAGAAACAAGCACTGCCATAGATACCAGGGCCAAAGGGCAAGACATATTTTTCTCTACTTACAGAGATGTACACTTGATTTTTAAATTAAAAAAACAACAACAGTTCTTAGTGCCAGTGCTCTACCATGGCCCTGATCCAACAGCATACTTAAGTACGTGCTTAACTTTAAGCGTGTGAGAACGTAAGAACGGCATACTAGATCAGACCAAAGGTCCATCTAGCCCAGCATCCTGTCCTCTGACAATGGCCAATGCCAGGTGCCCCAGAGGGAATGAATAGAACAGGTAATCATCAAGTGATCCATCCCATCACCCATTTCCAGCTTCTGGCAAACAGAGGTTAGGGACAGCATTCCTGCCCATCCTGGCTAATAGCCATTGATGGACCTATTCTCCATGAATTTATCTAGTTCTTTTTTGAACCCTGTTATAGTCTTGGCCTACGCAACATCCTCTGGCAAGTAGTTTCACAGGTTGACTGTGTGTTGTGTGGGAAAAAAACTGTTTTGTTTTAAACCTGCTGCCTGTTAATTTCATTTGGTGACCCCTTGTTTTTGTGTTATGAGGAGTAAATAACACATCCTTATTTTCTTTCTCCATGCCAGTCATGATTCTATACCTTTCTCATGTTCCCCCCTTAGTCGTCTCTTTTCCAAGCTGAAAAGTCCCAATCTTATTAATCTCTCTTCATATGGAAGCCATCCCATACCCCTAATCATTTTTGTTGCCCCTTTCTGAACCTTTTCCAATTCCAATCTATCTTTTTTGAGATGGGGTGACCACATCTGCATGCAGTATGCAAGATGTTGGCATACCATGGATTTATATAGTGGCAATATATGTTCTGTCTTCTTACCTATCCCTTTCTTAATGGTTCCCAACATTCTGTCTGCTTTTTTGATTGCACATTGAGTGGATGTTTTCAGAGAAATATCCACAGTGACTCCAAGATCTTTCTTGAGTTGTAACAGCTAATTTAGATCCCATCATTTTATATGTATAGTTGGGATTATGTTTTTCAATGTGCATTCCTTTCCATTTATCAACACTGAGTGTCATCTGCCATTTTGTTGCCCAGTCACCTAGTTGTGTGAAATCCTTTTGTAGCTTTTCGCAATCTACTTGGGACTTAACTACCTTGAGTAGTTTTGTATCATTTGCAAATTTTACCACCTCACTATTTACCCCTTTTTCCAGATCACTTATGAATATATTGAATAGGACTGGTCCCAGTACAGACCCCTGGGGGACACCACTATTTACCTCTTTCCATTCTGAAAACTGACCATTTATTCCTACCCTTTGTTTCCTATCTTTTAATCCGTTACCAGTCCACGAGAGGACCTTTCCTCTTATCCCATGACAGCTTACTTTGCTTAAGAGCCTTTGGTGAGGGACCTTGTCAAAGGCTTTCTGAAAATCTAAGCACACTATATCCACTGGATCCCCCTCATCCAGATGCTTGTTGACCCCCTCAAAGAATTCTAGTAGATTGGTGAGGCATGATTTCCCTTTACAAAAACTGTTAACTCGTCCCCAACAAATGATGTTCTGACAAATCTGTGTGTCTGACAATTTTGTTCTTTACAGTTTGCCCAGTACTGAAGTGAGGCTTACCGGCCTGTAATTGCCAGGATCACCTCTGGAGTCCTTTTTAAAACTTGGCTTCACATTAGCTATCCTCCAGTCATTTGGTACAGAAGCTGATTTAAATGATAGGTTACAAATACAGCTGCGAGTTTGTCACAGAAGTCACGGATTCTGTGACTTTCCGTGACTTCTGCAGCGGCCGGTGCGCCTGGCTCAGCAGGCGCACTAGCCACTGCTGGGGCAGTCTTGGGCCCCCGGGGCCCACTGCCTCCACCAGCAGCAGAGTTTGGGTGTGGGAGGAGGCAGGGGGTTGGGGCACAGGACAGGGTGAGGCGGGCTCTGGGTGGCGCTTACCTGGGGGCTCCTTGGAAGCAGCGACATCCCACTTGCTCAGCTGCTAGTCAGAGGCGTGGCCAGGCAGATCTGAGGGCTGCCTCTGCCCAGAGCGCTGGCTTCGCAACTCCCATTGCCCGGGAACCGCGGCCAATGGGAATTGCTGGGGCAGTGCCTGCAGGCGGAGGCAATGTGCAGAGCTGCCTGGCCACGCCTCCGCCTAGCAGCTGAGCGAGGGGGATGTCTCCGCTTCTGGGGAGCCCCCCAGGAAAACGCCACCCAGAGCCTGCCTCACCCGGTCCCGTGCCCCAACCTTGTTCCCCCTCCCACACCCAAACTCTGCTGCTGATGCTGGGGGGGAGGCACAGAGCCAAGTAGGGAGCCTGCCAGCCCTGCCATACCCTCCCCCAGCACTACCGGGGGCCCCAGGCCATCCACTGCTGCCCATCCTACCCCAGCACCCGTGGGGCCCCTGGAAAGCCCCCCTCCCCCAGTTTTATTTTCTGGTATTTTTAGTAAAAGCCATGAATTTTTGTTTACTGCCTGTGACCTGTCCATGATTTTTGCTAAAAAAAAATACCTGTGACTAAAACAGCCTTAGTTACAAACTAGTTAGTAGTTCTGCAATTTCACATTTGGGTTCCTTCAGAACTCTTGGGTGAATATCATATGGTCCTGGTGACTTATTACTGTTTAGTTCATCAGTTTGTTCCAAAACTCCTCTAATGACACCTCAATCTGGGACATTTCCTCAGATTTGCCTCCTAAACCTGAGCCATTCTTTTTAGGTATCTCCCTCACAGCCTCAGCCGTGAAGACTGATAGGGCTACTATAAGGTGGGTGCATAACGGGCTGGATAACCGTACTCAGAGTTATTAATGGTTCCCAATCCTGCTGGAAAGGCATAACGAGCGGGGTTCCGCAGGGGTCTGTTTTGGGACCGGCTCTGTTCAATATCTTCATTAACAACTTAAATATTGGCATAGAAAGAACGCTAATTAAGTTTGCGGAGGATACCAAACTGGGAGGGATTGCAACAGTTTTGGAGGACAGGGTCATAATTCAAAATGATCTGGACAAATTGGAGAAATGGTCTGAGTTAAACAGGGTGAAGTTTAACAAAGACAAATGCAAAGTTCTCCACTTAGGAAGAAAAAATCAGTTTCACACATACAGAATGGGAAGAGACTGTCTAGGAAGGAGTATGGCAGAAAGGGATCTAGGGGTTATAGTGGACCACAAGCTAACTATGAGTCAGTGTGATGCTGTTGCAAAAAAAGCAAACGTGATTCTTGGATGTATTAACAGGTGTGTTCTGAGCAAGACACAAGAAGTCATTCTTCTGCTCTACTCTGCTCTGGTTAGGCCTCAGCTGGAGTATTGTATCCAGTTCTGGGCACTGCATTTCAAAAAAGATGTGGAGAAATTGGAAAGGGTCCAGAGAAGAGCAACAAGCATGATTAAAGGTCTTGAGAACATGACCTATGAAGGAAGGCTGAAGGAATTGAGTTTGTTTAGTTTGGAAAAGAGAAGACTGAGGGGACATGATAGCAGTTTTCAGGTATCTAAAAGGGTGTCATAAGGAGAAGGGAGAAAACTTGTTCACCTTAGCCTCTAAGGATAGAACAAGAAGCAATAGGCTTAAACTGCAGCAAGGGAGGTCTAGGTTGGACATTAGGAAAAAGTTCCTAACTGTCAGGGTGGTTAAACACTGGAATAAATTGCCTAGGGAGGTTGTGGAATCTCCATCTCTGGAGATATTTAAGAATAGGTTAGATAAATGCCTATCAGGGAGGGTCTAGACAGTATTTGGTCCTGCCATGCGGGCAGGGGACTGGACTCGATGACCTCTCGAGGTCCCTTCCAGTCCTAGAATCTATGAAGAATTCATTTAGTTTCTCTGCAATGGCCTTATTGTCCTTGAGTGCTCCTTTAGCATCTCGATTGTCCAGTGGCCCCACTAGCTGTTTAACAGATTTCCTGCTTCTGATGTATTTAAAAAAAAAAAAGCTATTACTTTTTGAGTCCTTGGTTAGCTGTTCAAATTCTTTTTTGGCCTTCCTAATTATATTTTTACACTTCATTTGCTAGTTTATGCTCCTTTCTATTTTCCTCACTAGGATTTAACGTCCACTTTCTAAAGGATGCCTTTTTGCCACTCACTGCTTCTTTTACTTTGATGTTTAGCCACAGTGGCACTTTTTTGGTTCTCTATGTTTTTTAATTTGGGGTATACATTGAAGTTGAGCCTCTGTTATGGTGTCTTTAAAAAGTGTCCATGAAGCTTGCAGGGATTTCACTTTTGGCATTGTACCTTTTAATTTCTGTTTCACTAACTTCCTCATTTTTGTGTAGTTCCCCTTCCTGAAAATAAATGCTACAGTGTTGGGCTGCTGTGATGTTTTCCCTGCCATGAGGATGTTAAATTTAATTATTTTATGGTCACTATTACTAAGCAGTCCAGCTATATTCACCTCTTGGGCCAGATCCTGTGCTCCACTGAGGACTTAACCAAGAATTGCCTCTCCTCTGGTGAGCTCCAGGACTAGCTGCTCCAAGAAGCAGTCATTTAAGGTGTCAAGAAACTTTATCTTTGTGTCACGTCCTGAGGTGACATGTACCCAGTCAATACTGGAAGATGTTACCTAGGGATGTTGTGTAATCTCCATCAGTGGAGAGCTTAACATGTTATCTAGACCATCCCTGATGCCTGTTTGTCTAATAGTTCAGGCTTGTCTACATTACAAAATTAAGCCCAGTTAAGTTGATGTACAGTCACCACACTAATTAAAGCCATGGTTCACATGCACACTATGCTCCTTCTGTGAGGCATGTGCATCCCCACCAGGAGTGCTTCTACTGACTGAAGTGGGGCACTGACAGCTGGAGCCCTACCCAGAGGGCTGACAGCCAACAAGCACTGGAAGTAACACAATGTCTACATAGACCCTGTTGCCCTAACTACATTGACCTAAGCGGTACACCTCTTGCAGAAGTGGAGTTATGTCGATATGGGTGACTTACAGTGGTGGGAGTATCATTGTAGTGTAGACATTTAAAGTTAGGTAGACGTAAGCTGCCTTATGTTAACCTAACTCTGGAGCGTAGAGTAGGCCTCAGTCCTATAGTAGTGCTAGGGCCTGAACTAGCTGACCTATTGAGGTCCTTTCCTACATTTCTATGATTCGGTGTGTTCCAGTGTGCTGTTTGATTGAGGTCCATACCATTTTCCTTGGGGTAGTGTTTGGATCTGATAGTGGATGGTGTCTAGTGCATTCAGCTCCTGTTTAAAAAAAAAATACAGGTGTTAAAGGAACTTTGCACCTTGTAATACCAAGCCTGAGAAGAGGCAATAGTACACCTCTACCTCAATATTACACTGTCCTGGGGAGCTAAAAAATCTTACCATGTTATAGGTGAAACCACATTATATCAAGCTTGCTTTGACCACCAGAGTGCACAGCCCCCCCCCCCAGAGAACTGCTTTACTGTATTATATCTGAATTTGTGTTATATTGGGTCAGAGGTGTATATTAGGTGAATTAAATTGACCTTTTCTTCAGTAACTTCAGCACTACAGGCATCTGTGGTGCACATAATAAAAGGCATTGTTTTATTGTAAAAGAGTTTATCCACAAGAATATAAAAGGTGTGGCAGTGGTAGAGGGGTGTCTATGCTGTTTGGGGGGATTTTGAGAAATAAAGAATGGATGTTAGGCACTTGCTCTTTCCTGGGTGAGTATCCAGCGTGAAACTGACTTTACAGGGTCCAGCCAACAATGTATTGCTTAGTAGGTCCAACAAAAGTTACCAGAAAACTTGTGGATGTTGGAGAATATGGTTGCTGACTTCTGGAAATGGTCCTTAATCCAGGTTTCAGCATACCTTTAGTTACCCCAGCCCTCCTTCACAAGGGTCTTCGACTCAGCTGTAGGTTGGAAATACACATCGATTGAATGAGAAATAACAGATTGTATTTGATCATATTCTTCCATCCCTAGTGGGGGAGTGAAGAGAGACTGGATTGGAGTCCCCAGGAAGCTGTACATGCCCGGTTCCCCTGATAGTCACTGTGTGTGTGTGAGAACTACTGGACCTCCTTCTGGAGAATTGGATTCTACTGAGCACAGTGACAGAGGCGACTTGGACAATCCTAACTTGCAAGAATACAAGGGATGCCATCCACTAGCTGACTGGTGTATGTTAAAAGATTGAGTCACTAGCCATGTTGGACTTAATGCATTTATTGTCTTAAAATGAAATAGTTGATCAGGTACAGTCAAAAAATGCATGGGAGCTTTACAGTGGATTCTCTGGTATACAAGACTGGGGAGACTCAGTCAGAAACAGGAATCAGTTTGTATAAAATTACTCAGTAACTGTAAACACCATGCTAAAGTGCCAGTAAAAGTAATGGAAATGTGAGACAGGGAGGGAGCATGGTAAGGAAAATTGTTAAAATGGAAAAGCTTTGCCAATACCTGTTTCTGTAGCTTGTTGGTACTCTACAGAAAAATCCTTTTTTTGTGCTAATTGAGAAATAGCTGTATGTATGGAACGGTGAGTAATGTCTCAGTGAAGTGAGCTCTGAGCTAGCACACCACTACACTGTAGATGCAGTTTCACTTACTGAAGCATAAGACAGCCCACCTCTCTTCACTACCATCACAACATTGCTCTTCTTGTGGCAGAGTTGTGCTAATACTCACTAATTTGCACATGCCACCAACTTACTGAGAAATGACTTGTAACTGAAGCCTCTACAGTGCTTTCTGTAGTTGTGCTATTGAACATCTACACTTATCAGATGAACCCAGGACACTAGGTGATGCAATATCCATGTTTCTACCATTCTTTGGTTATAAAACACCAAGGTATACCTCGTCCTTCTTTTCTACCCTCTCTCTCCAAATACTTCCTATGAGTTGTTGTTTCCATAGTACGTAGAAGCCATGAGTCACCTGTTCTAACTGAACAATGAAAGTGATCCACAGAGAGGTAACTGATTTTACTGCTACAATCCACTGGTCATCCTCCTCCCTTACTTATTTACTACCACTACTTGTTGCATTGTCTCACTAGATTGTAAAGTCTTCAGGGCAGGAATCTGTTACTCTAATTTGCAAAATCCAATAGCATTGTGTGTTGCCTAAATACTAATGTAAGTTAGTGTTATTCTCTACAGGCTATGGGTACATTAAACTATTTTACAAAAGAGGAAAACTTCCAGAAGGTCTGCCTTGCCCAGTTCTCTTCCCCCTCCCCCCCAAAATGCTTAACTAGTGCAAGTCACTATGTGACAGTGAGCACAAGAGAGCAAAGTAGTATTCAAGAACACTCAAGTGCTATGCTATGTACCCCCAACACTTAGAGCTAACACAGCAAGTTCACTGTAAACTGGCTTTAAATAGTGTACAGCAACACACCTGGTCATGGTTTATACATTTATTAAAGTTTGTTTTTCTAGTTGTGTTGCCTCTCCCAGTTTCATGGTACTTCTCTCTCCCCTACGCTCCAAGCTTCTTGCTACCTCCCAGTGCTTCTTTTGGGAAGCTGAAGTTAAATACACCTTCAGTTTGCCGGACTGGAAACAAGTAGCTGAAGCTCCCTTCTTTGTGTGTTATGGGGCAAAACTCCACTAGGGGACAGATCTGAAGTGTCCTGGGGTACGGAATTGAGCCTGAGATTTTTAAACTTGTGCCCAAATTAGACTTCAGTATAGCAAGCTGCAAAATCCTCACTCAACTGCAAATGACAAGGGATAGTCATGGTCCTTGTAGTGATAAGAGTATAATGTCTGCCCTTTTCAGGGAATCTACTGTTGGAAAAGACAGTCCTGTCCCCTTGAAGCAGGATAATCCTTACTTTGCCTAGAACAGTAACCCAAATTAAAGGCAAAATGCTTCAAAAAGGAATTTCTGCATTTTCTGCCATTTGTAATACAAGATATCTGATGCACATTTCAAACAAAGGACACTTAATGTTTGGGGACTGAAGGTAACTTTAGATTGTAAAGTCCAGATAAGGGGTAGTTCATTCTCTCCCATGACCCACAACAGAATATGAACTTTATATGATGCACAACTGAAATAGAGACAGGATGTCCAAAAGCCTGTAACAGCAAGTTACTTGCATTGCCTGTCTTTTCATGGTAGCTGTAGGGAGGTGTCTGATGGCAGACTGCTGTACTGAGATTTCATTTCAGCCTCAAGGAAGTGGTTTGTAGAAGATAAACAGCTCAAGCTGATAGGGTGCAATAATCTGCTAGTCTCTCCCTGGGTTAACTGACAGCAGCAGGGTCCCAGGGGGGGGGACTAGGTTATTGACCCATTGCAGTATAACTGGGTGCGAGTAAGCCTATGACATTTCATTATATTATTGCCAAAAAAAGTTGGTTTGCAGCAGGAAGCTATTTTTGACACCCGAGTATAATTTATGTTCATCTTTGCCTCACCCCACGGACATCTAACGAGACACAGGACTGGAGATAGTTAGCTTTGAAGCAGTCTGCCAAAAGGTACAACTAAAGGACAAATCTGTTCAACCAAATGAACAAGGCAAACAGTAAATTACTACCAATGCTTGACTTAACCTTGAAACCCACATTACTGTAGGAGTCCTCAGCTGAACAGCCCTTCCTGCTTTTAGAGGAGAAATAATCAGATTGCTTAAGAGCCTTAGTATTCTATCCTAGTGACAACTGAAGACAGGAGTGAGATTAATAACCAGCTAATTAAGTGCCACCAAAGAACAGGAATTGTATAAAGAAAGGAAGCAGTAAGATCCCTTCAAGTACTTATGCAATAGCTCTCCAGGGGAAAACTGTGGCCAAAGGCTGAGTTGATCAATTATAACAGATTTTAACTAGTGACCGATACATTTCATCCTACTGTAGGTTTGAAGCTGCTGAGTGCACTATGAAATCAGTAATAGCTAACTTAGAAATTGAATCATAAATCGGGTTGTCTGGTTTTGAACCAGAACACCTGGTCGGAAAGGGACCCTCCCCCAGCCTGGGGGGAGTGAGCAACAGAGGGAGGGGATGGAGTGAGTGGGGCAGGGCCTCAGAAGGGGTAGGGCAAAGGTGTTCAGTTAGAAAGCTGGCAACCCTAATCATGATACATAACCAAAAAAAAAAAAAAAAAAAAAAGTACAGATTCACATCAATATGAACACTCTTGAATGGGTAAGGAGTGACACTATACTCTTGGGAACCAATGCTCAGCTGCTGTAATTTGGCAGAACTCCAACACTGAGCAAGAATTCACTAGATGGAGATGGTTATTAGTCACTGAATATCTTCCACTTTGGGGGGTGGGGAGGGGAAGAGGGAGGTATTAAGAATAGCACTTTCACTTCAGTTATGCACATACTGTTTACAACAAGGATGGGTTAGTATGTGCAGTTATATACCCACCCGAATTATATAGCCTCATGCTTGGACTACAGCAAACAAAGTTAGCTTAACGTAAATTACTCCTGTGGACGTTGTAGCATTCTATAGCTGAGGGCTCTGTTAACATTCCTGGAAGGATGATGGGAATTCATCATGATGATAAATCAAGGGGCACTTAGGTGCACTATAAATAAATACATCTATAGGCTAGCATGTAGTTCAGGGAATTACTTCTATAATCAGATGGATCAATGATAATGATCAAGGTATAGTTCTTCAATGAAGTTCATAACATCTCAATTAGTGATTTTTAGCAAGTATTTATTGTTAAAACATATGCATCAAACAATCCTAGCAAAATGCTTTTGGCTGGTTTTACAGTTACTCTGGAGCATCCCTTTTTGAAGTAAAGCTGCATGGATTAGATGACACTTAAAGAGGCATCTGCTAAGTATAACAGGACTTTGCACTCATGGTTTTGCTTATTTTCTTTCAATTAACTTTCAACTCTATTACATTTAATGCATCTGAAGTTAAAAATTGGTTTGGGAAAAACATGAACAGAACTAGTTGATTGAAGGTCCAGACCTGGGCAGTACAGGAAATCAGGACTACACAGGAATGACTGCAGCCAAGCCTATTATTGAAAGGTGTTTGAGTGCATAATTTAATGTCAATTAGGAGGACAGAAGAGTCAGTCTGCCAAAATAATGCTAGTTAAGCAATTATACAAGAATTTTACAATACATGATGTCTGGAATAATCACTATTTGGTTAAGATAATCATTTACAAAACAAAAGGCAAGTTGAAATATAATTAAATCTTATTCCCAGGGTTTACTGGTAATAAACATTTTCCTTCTTGCTTGGAAACTGACTAAGGGTGTAAGACTTCTCTTGATGCACTTTGTCATTACTGGTGCAATAAATGTATTTTTGTATCAAGGTTTACAGCCCATGATGTATTTTATCTAGTTATCCTCAGTTCGTTACAAGACTCATTACAGAGTAGGAATATTGCAAAAATACATTCTTAGAATGGACTGAACAGAAAATGCCATTGTTCTAAGACTTTCTATTTCATAAACAGTAAGGATGACAAAAAAGTTTCACATTATAGTTTGATCTTACCTTTACACTTGGGTAAAACACGCAACAGTAAATTTGTTGCAATAGCCAGGTCTGCAGCAAATTGCTGTTGAGGGGAATCAAAATATAAACTACACTTGGTCTACAAAAAAACCTCCCTATGTTCATTTGTTATACAGATAATCTTATATATGCTACGTGACAAGTTGTACAAGCCACTGGTCTCCATACAGGAAGTCTTTAAGGCATCTGTAAACTTTTAGCAAGTGAATTAGTAATGCTTTGTTAGTACCTTTAACACCAGTAATTTCAAAACACATTCTCATATTTACTAGAGTGAAATAGGTTATTCCCCCCCTCCAAGACTTACTTCAATTTCTAATTGTAAATTAGAATGAGTTTTGTGCTTGGACAAGGGGCTGGATTGACCATGCTGGAGACTGAATTCCTCTTTCGCTACAGAACAAACTCCACAAACTTTCCCCATTCAGCCTTAAGTGCCTGAAGCCCTAACCTAACAAACCTGCATGTAGGGCCAAGAAGGGAGTTCAGTCTTGTGCTCATCCAACCCTTGACATCTGCAAGCAGACTGATTAACATTTTCTAAGTTGTGAGTATCCAAGGACAGGGGTGGCAGGGTTTTTTGGTCACAGTCGTAAATATACCACATAAAAGGAAGTGCATTATTTGTTTGCCAAGTTAGAAATGTACTGACCACCACCAGAGATCTTCAAGAGCTTTCCACTTGATTTGTGCCCTTTAACAGAGTATGACTACCAACCCTAACACGAAGAGCTGTGAGAAGAAAAAAAATGCACACCAGGTAGATAGTGTTTACTGGAAATGAAGCTGAGGTGTGGTAAACTTCACACCCTGGGGTGGGGTGGGGGGGGGAGGAAATGTAAACATTAGGTCTTTAGTTATGAGGTAAAAGATGGGGGACACTAGGTAGTTTGGGCTGCCTATAGCTCAACTTGTGTGTGGGGGGGTTAAATCTGGCAGAAAACAATGTTTACAAATTTGTTTAATAATTTCTAAGATAGTTGCCAAGAAAACACAGTAAAGGCACTTTAAATTTGTCAAATTTCTGTTAAGAGAATGTAGTTACTTTGAATTCAATCTCAGATGCACATTTCAGGTTGTACATGGAAGGGCTATTCATACTCATAGCTGCCTTTAAATTCCAGTGAGGCATAGAGGACCGTTTCAAAACAAATGCTGGTGTACTTTAAAAGTGCTAGGTAGGATTTACCAGAGGATTTAGGATTGTTGCATTTTTAAAGCCATCATTAATTTCTATCCCACCCCTCGAAAGTGAGTTTGCAACATGTAAGAGTAGGCTAGTATGAGAAACTGAACCTGCTCTGGATCTACTGTAAAGACTGCCAAGCACATCCCAGAAGCCTTCCCAAATTGAAGTAAAACTGGAAGTCAGATCTGCCTTACTGGACTTTAAAAGCAAGCCTATTAATACTGCTAAGGGGCCAAATAACTCAATTTTACAAGTCAAATATTCTAATCCTTTTGAGACTAATTGCTGTAAAGCACTCGACAGATCAAGTCTTGTCAACTTCTTAACAAAGTCCATTTATGAATCACTATGCAAATAACTCTGGAATAACCACTCCTATCCTCTAGTGCTGCATCTTTCCTCCTCTTGACAGGTTTTAAGTGGAAAAGACAGCAAGCAAATGTGAAAAGTTACACTTGATCACTGGATGTGGTTAGTCAACCAGTTAAACTGACAAGACAATCATTTCTTTGAACTGATACTTTATCCATTTGCAATTTTAACATGGTAAATGGGAATTTAACTTATGCAAACCCATGAGTTACTGACATTTTAAAACAATCAGAAGTGATACATGATTATTCTTAGATTGTCCAGGATTTCTTTTGATCATTTAAACTGTCATGCTTTGTAATTAAGTGCTTTTGAGACTCATTCATGCCATCCTTCTCAAGTGTCTCAGAACAAGTC